GCATGAGCAGCAACCATTCAACACAGTACGGGGCCAGTGTTGTTGTGATACTGTGTCGCGCATGGGTCTTTAGAGGCGACGCTATGACGCATGCGTGTAAGAAAAAAAATGTGGTTAGAGCTTAAAGATGGAAACGCGAAAATCTTCCCACTCTGAAGGCTTAATAAAAAAAAGATCGTTTACAGACCCCCGAAACGCCGGCTTCGTGTGGATGAGAGGCTGGTTTGGTGAAAAATTTGTGCGTTTAGGCCAGGGTTTGACTTCGTGTGGACGGGGCCTCAATAGCAATGTATATTTAGTTAATTCCTGTGTCTAGTTTAGTTGATCTGTTTGGAAGAAACCAAAATTTGCAAATATGTACCACACTATGCTGATTCATTGGTTTAAAATTTCAATAAAATACACCAAAGCGTAGATCATGAAGTTTTTTTTGGGCGCTCTCAGGCTCAGCAGCTATTCTCCCCCACAGGACATTACCAGCCTGCTCCACACCATTTATGAGGTCGTGGATGCCTCCGTCAACCACTCTCCTGGCAACAGCAAGACTTTGAGGGTCAAACTCTCCGTCGCTCCGGACTCAAGTCAGCAGTGGAGGAGCTGTGCTCAGGGTGCGACAGGTAAAGCTCCCGTTGACTCAGTGTGGGGCAGTGGCAGAGAAAAGAGGGCATTGTTACCTTCCATTTACACGTCTGCGCTGACAGCTCACTCAGACGTGTGTTTGTTGTCATGTAGAGAGGCGGCCGCTTCAGGCCTGTCAGGTCTTTGTTCCTTGCAGTCTCTCCGTCGCTCCAACCCTCCTACTCAATGGGGTTCATTTTTAATGATGGGGGGTGACTGCGTAGAGAGAGTGCTCCCCTTCCTTCCCTTGCCGCCTTCAAATACTCTAAAAGAAACCTTAAGAGATGTGCCAAGTCCTTTTGATAACCACAGCCATTTTTCTTTTCTCCTGTGCTCCCTGTGTTCCCTCCCCCCCCCACGTCTCCCCCTCTTTTTGTCCTCCTTTCTCAGAGCTGCGGGGAAAATATAGCAACATTCGACGTAACTTTCCCTTCTGACGACTTGGCAAACAAGTCGTCAGAGAGGAAAATATCTCAAAAAGTATATATTCCTGAGTGTTTGTGTCCTATTGTTTTGTCTATAAATATCTGTCAGGCGATTCAGACAGAGGAAGCCTTGAAAATGTTTCCTTCATGCTAATTTCAAATCGCATCAGATCCCACATCCTAATAATACTATTTCTGAAATCAACATGGTTTTTATGGTACTCTGCTCCTTTATAAGTCTGGGAGTTGAAAATAGAATAAATGAAGCACTGTTGTTTTTCCTTGTCTATAGATCTTCAAAGTGAAACACTAAAACAAAGGTTGCTTTCTTCTGGGTCTTGTGTGGCTGGTTTCGTGTGTTTGTGAGGCTTCTCTGCATTGCTCCCTTTGCTAATACCCCCCCTTCTCTTTGTGCATACTCAGATATGTCCCACTCCAGAGAGAAAAATGATAAATGCGTCGAAGAGACCAAGAGTGCAGACAAGAAGTCTCGAGCGCTCCTCAGGTAACGTGACCTTTTGCTGCTTAGGTGTCTGCATGAGGAACAAATCACACGTGTAAATCCATCAAACATCAAGAAATGTATTTTCAATAATTATGTAAAGGAAACTAAACTCAAATAGATTCTCAAAACCCACAGAAAAATACTTCAATCGCTTATTTCTGGTCATTTTGATAAGTTTGGCTTATAGCTAAGGAAAGTAGCAGTATTGCATAATACCAGTGTAAAAGGAGGATTTTCAATATAGAGCTATTATGTCAGTGTTGAGGGAATGAACTCAGTGATTCTTTTCCTTTGGTTTCTCCATCACTGTGTTGTGGTACATGCCGTCACAACCAGTGGCAATGCTGGGAATTTTTTTACTTCTGCTAAACTTTTTCTTTGATATAAATGGATTTGAAACACTTTTATAGATTTAGATTTTTCTTTTCTTTCTTTTTTTTTGATGATGATTATGAAAAACACAGAGTTCTTTAAGAAATGTGAAATATGATATAAATATGAAAAAGAATTGAAACATATGCCTAAATATTTTGCCGTATATACAGTAGGGATGTAACATATTGGTTGATGAATTACTCGAAAGTTGATTGATTTTATTGAACACCTAACATTTAGTTAGTCAGCGGCCATTTTCTTAAAAACCTGAGTTTCATCTTTTATCGAATAGAAATTTCCATAACTTGAGGGGCTCAATACTTTTTTGCAATATGCTGGGTAAAAAAAACAACCTATTTTTGTGCCAGCTGCAATAATGCGACTGTTTTTAGCATTTGCTTAATCATGTTTAGTTACTTTAACACAATTGTTTCATGTTAGCGGGATAGAACATAAAACAATTGTGTTAAATTAACTTAATATGATTAAGTAAATGCCAAAAGCGGTTGCATTATTTTAATTATAATATGTAATTATGAGATGTAAAAACAGAAACCTTTTAGGTGATTGAATAAAAACACTAAAGATTTCTTAAATATAATTTAAGGAAAGGTATATTGCTTTTCGTTTACATGGTGGAGAGTAACTAAATTTTATTTTTTTTTTACTTTTAAATGGTGGTTCTTGGTATTAGAGACATTTTAAAACTTCTCTCCATCAATTGCAGTAACTTACATAAGCCTTTCAAACTACCAGAATAATTGCCAGCATGTATTTTTTCTATCTTGTCACAAACATTTTGCATTTGCCCACGACTCGCCTTCCAATCACACCAGAGAAATCGACGCCGCTCTGCCATGCTGCCATGGAGCACAGCTAAATGGGCGCTATTTAGGTGACAACTTCATGAGTTTATCAAGTGTTTATATATACAGTACAAACAGAATGAAATAAAGTTAATTCTGCATCTTTGTCACCGTCAAACATTCTTAAAATTCCAGACCACACTCTCCATCAATTCATGTTTCTGCTCCGGCAGAAAAACAAAAGTTGTTTACATCCTTAATAAATGGGGCTGCTCAGTGGTGCAATGGGTAGCACTGCTGCCTCGCAGCAAGAAGGTTCGATTCATGCATGTTCTCACTGTGCATGCCTGGGTTCTCGCGGGTACTCCGGCTTCTTCCCACAGTCCAAAACCATGACTGTTTGGTTAACTGGCTTCTCTCCATTCTCCTTAGATGTGAGTGTGTGCGTTAATGGTTGTTTGTCTATGTGTTACCTGACCAGGATGTACCACGCCTCTTGCCCATAGACAGCTGGAGATAGGCACCAGCACCCCTCGTGACTCCAGCAGGGATGAAGCGTGACGGAAAATGGATGGATCCTTAATAAACACCCAATGCACAAATTACTATATCAATAATGGTGTCTCTCATCTTCCTTTTTAATAACCACTGACATATTTTCCGAGAGGTTTGGGCCTGATGAGTTTGCAGGCCCTTTAATTGACACCCTGGTCATAACGGTGGATGGTGGTATTTCTGAGGTTAAAGTGCCTCCTGAAAAAATGTATTCATCCCTTGTGAGAAATACATTTGCAGCCTACATGTACTATTTTTTATAAAAAATAAAATGTAAATAAAAGCAACTGTACCATAAAAACTACACATTAGTACACAAATTAATGCAATCAATTGCTACTAAGAAAAAAAAAATCAGCAGGTACAAAAGGAAAGTCTGATTCTTGATTCCAGAGATAAATACCTTCTTCTGGTGGCCTGAGGAAGCATTAAAGGAGAGCACTATCATAACACCACAGAGGTGGCCTTCCAAGGCAGCAGCAGCAGTTATAAAAGCCCATAATCTTAATCGGAATCCCCCTGAAATCTTTCCAGCTGCTTCAAGCAGAGTCCAAAGTTTGATTTTGTTGGCCAGAACTAACTAACCAAATAAGGCTGTGATTTAAAAAAAAATGATTCAGTAAAACCTTTATATAAAGANGGTTCTTGGTATTAGAGACATTTTAAAACTTCTCTCCATCAATTGCAGTAACTTACATAAGCCTTTCAAACTACCAGAATAATTGCCAGCATGTATTTTTTCTATCTTGTCACAAACATTTTGCATTTGCCCACGACTCGCCTTCCAATCACACCAGAGAAATCGACGCCGCTCTGCCATGCTGCCATGGAGCACAGCTAAATGGGCGCTATTTAGGTGACAACTTCATGAGTTTATCAAGTGTTTATATATACAGTACAAACAGAATGAAATAAAGTTAATTCTGCATCTTTGTCACCGTCAAACATTCTTAAAATTCCAGACCACACTCTCCATCAATTCATGTTTCTGCTCCGGCAGAAAAACAAAAGTTGTTTACATCCTTAATAAATGGGGCTGCTCAGTGGTGCAATGGGTAGCACTGCTGCCTCGCAGCAAGAAGGTTCGATTCATGCATGTTCTCACTGTGCATGCCTGGGTTCTCGCGGGTACTCCGGCTTCTTCCCACAGTCCAAAACCATGACTGTTTGGTTAACTGGCTTCTCTCCATTCTCCTTAGATGTGAGTGTGTGCGTTAATGGTTGTTTGTCTATGTGTTACCTGACCAGGATGTACCACGCCTCTTGCCCATAGACAGCTGGAGATAGGCACCAGCACCCCTCGTGACTCCAGCAGGGATGAAGCGTGACGGAAAATGGATGGATCCTTAATAAACACCCAATGCACACATTACTATATCAATAATGGTGTCTCTCATCTTCCTTTTTAATAACCACTGACATATTTTCCGAGAGGTTTGGGCCTGATGAGTTTGCAGGCCCTTTAATTGACACCCTGGTCATAATGGTGGTATTTCTGAGGTTAAAGTGCCTCCTGAAAAAATGTATTCATCCCTTGTGAGAAATACATTTGCAGCCTACATGTACTATTTTTTATAAAAAATAAAATGTAAATAAAAGCAACTGTACCATAAAAACTACACATTAGTACACAAATTAATGCAATCAATTGCTACTAAGAAAAAAAAAATCAGCAGGTACAAAAGGAAAGTCTGATTCTTGATTCCAGAGATAAATACCTTCTTCTGGTGGCCTGAGGAAGCATTAAAGGAGAGCACTATCATAACACCACAGAGGTGGCCTTCCAAGGCAGCAGCAGCAGTTATAAAAGCCCATAATCTTAATCGGAATCCCCCTGAAATCTTTCCAGCTGCTTCAAGCAGAGTCCAAAGTTTGATTTTGTTGGCCAGAACTAACTAACCAAATAAGGCTGTGATTTAAAAAAAAAAAAGGATTCAGTAAAACCTTTATATAAAGACATCGTCATCTCAGATGAGACATTAAGGGTCACCACAGTATGAGGTTCTATAACATTTCCTGGTCTGGACTCAAAACTTGTAAAATCTGTGGTAACTTTCCGGTGCATATTTTTTTTACCCATTTTTTCCACCAAACCTTCTATTATTATTAGTGGGTTTGACTCTCTAACCTGTGACCTCCTATAGAAATACTTCAGTGGATTATCTGTCTGCTGGACAAGTATAAGAACGACATGATTTCCCATTTTAGTCCAAACTGGGACCTCATAAAATAGATTCTACTTTAGCTTTATTTTGCCTTTTGTTTTATTATTAGCATTAAACTTAATTAAAATGCACTGAGATAAAACTATTTCTCTGATTAATCTAAATAATACAGAAAAGGGCATTTTTACACTGAATAACTGAAAAACCTGCTTTTCAGTGTAATTCTGATTTATTTAGAAGCATCTGTTTATCATTTTCTTTAAAGAGATATAATTTTCCTGTTTGTTGAAGGATTTAATGTGTTCTGTAATTTGTTTTACACACGAAATCTCTTGTTGCTTTTCTTCTGTCCACATACCACAAGTGTAGATTTAAACCTGTGATTTTAAGCGTCCTAGCTCTGCAACAGTTGTCCTGCTTCTACCTGATCAGAAGCTACATTTGTTTATCTTTTCCAAACTGCTTCCTAATGAGAGGTACTGCTCATTTCCACAGGCGCCACCACAGCGACCACCACACCCAGCTTGGCTGCCAGCGCCACTGTGTGGACGAGAACCTGGAACGCAGGAACCACTACTTGGACCTGGCAGGCATTGAGAACTACACGTCGCACTTTGGAGTCGGTGAGTGGACTGGGGTAAAGAGGGGTTGGGGAGGACTGAAGGCAGACCGAGGCTCTTTGAAGCCGGTCATTACTGCAGCACCTGTTTAGTTAGAGCTATTAGGTGGGACTACCAGCCAACTGCTCGCCTCGCCAGTACAAACATCTGGGTTCAGGCGGACACAATACATCGAGTGTTCGAGGGGAAAGTCTGTCAACGGTCAGGACGGAAAGTTGTGAGGGGAGAATTTAAAGCCTTGATCTGCTGTCCACTGATGACATGCCATGATTTTGCTGTTGGTTCTTAGAGGAAAGTGCTAACAGGAATCCTCTCTGTGTCTGAGATCTCGGAGAAGGGAAAGATCCAGAAGTGAGATTGGGAGGTTTTGCATAGAACTCGATTACTGTGCTTTGGGCATTGCCTGATTTCTGTCTCCTTATTCCTGAGTAGTTGTGTTTTTATTGGCAATGCCTGTTTGCTTTCCTTTGAGCAAGACAACATAAAAAACTTGTATTTTGTTAATTTAACAGACTGTAAATATGGACTGTAGATGTGAGAAAATGCAATATTATCTTTATAACTAAAGACCATAATAATCTATGAGAATCAAGTTAATCTAGAATTAGAATTCTATTCAAAGGATTAAAGATTTAACTTTCATCAACAGTCTTATGGTGCATTATGAATCCGAGGAAATAAGTTATAAGAAGCGGTTTTTAGCTCTAACTAGGTTTGGAAAAATTAATCTGATTAATAATGATTAATTAATTATACAATAATTGTCAACTATTTACGTAATCGATCAATGGTTTACAGGAGTATAGAGACACTAATACATGCTATTAGCTGGAAGAGCAACCCATTCAGAGGAGGGATTACACCAAAACTGTAAAAATTAAATAGACATAACATTATGCATTTAAAGTAAAAAAAAACATCCTTTTTGTATGTCAACATGCGCTATACAGAACTCCTCAAGTGGCAGTTTTAGCTTCAGCTGGTTTAAATTCTGTATAAAATCTTCTTTAAGTAACCGTTTGCTATCCGTTTATCAATTGATTAATTGAAAAAAAATAGCAAAAAAGGTGTTAGTTGCAGCCTTAGCTCTAATACCTACATAATTAGAGGATTATTTCTGATGTATTTGCAGCATGACATTTTTTGTGGGTCCCTTTCTCTGAGTTTTGTCTTATTTCAGTTATTCCTCTATCAAGTCTAAAAATTCTTAAAATAAAGGAATGTTTTGCAGCCTCCTGAGCCTTCTCCTTAAAACAATGATCCTTGAAAAACATGCTGCTAAATAAGATAATACACAGTCTCTAAATTATTCTACCGTTCACATGTTTTTTGACTGCCAGTCTCAGAAAAGTTCAGATTAGAGAAATAAAGTCATTTAGAATAATAGCTTTGTCTCTTTCTGACACAGCTCCTGCTGCTGAACCAGCGAAGGCAGAGACCCAGACTCGCTCATCCAACCAGGCTCGTTCTCGCTCACACGAACCAGAAAACGGACTCCCCCACTCACACCACCGCCGGCTCATGACGGCTGTGGACACTACTGCTCCAGAAGGCGTTCATCCTGCCCGGCCCAGAGGCCAGGAAACCGGGCGACACACCATCCGTTCTCCAAAGACTCATAGCCGCACACCCACTGCCCAGAACAGCGGCAGGGTGATGAGGAGTCGAGGCGCACCACCTCCGCCGGCTCTGCCCTGCCAGACGCCTCCTCATCAGTCCACTGCTCCATACCGTAAACACAAACAGCGATCTAAAGAGAGCAATGGCTACCGGGCCTTAGGTGCTATTGGCTCTCCGGGACCTGTAGTGGAGAAAGAGCAGGTGAGGGACCTGCCAGGCGTTCTGCTCTACGACGGTGGGCTGTCACAAGTGGTGCAGCGGCATGAACATCACCATCATCATGAACACCATCACCATTATCACCACTTTTACCAGTCCTGAAACTCTGATTGGCCGGAGACGGCTCAGCGCCCCTGCATTGCCACAAAAACCAAACAGGCCAGCAGACACTGACTGCAGCGAGCTGCACCGGCACAGGACACTGGAAGGACATGAGGATGGTGGCCATGTTGTGCCTGTGCTGGAGTGTTAAGTAACCAGATCTATGAAACGGTTGGTCTGACCTACAGAAGCTTTGGTATGCAGCAGGATGGTGAGTCAGAGCCCAAGCTGAGCGGTCGGACTGGAAATTACACCAATGGCAGCAATGAAAAGGTGTTTTAAACTTCCACCCGTTGAACTGTACACTTTCAGACCAGCATTCCAACACTACCAAGACCACCAAGTCAAAGGGAAGAAAATAGTAGAGAGGAGGAGCCTGTGTCTGAATAATATATAAATATATGAAGGAATTAGGGCGACGAGCGATTTGTAAAAAACGTGTCAAAAACAAAATGAACGTGTAGGCGTATCCGAGTGTCACAACACTGGTGTCCGTTTGAAACCACTTCATGTCATGATCCACAGCTGTTTTTGTTTTCATGTCTCCATATTTGGTCTATTAGTCTACCTTCCTCAATGACCAGGTTTGTTTCTTCCCCTCAGCTGCTCTGCATTCAGTTCATTGTGCTAAACCTGCAGCTCATTGCATCCACTTAATTTAAGCTCCTGGTTTCTCTTTGTTCCCTGCTGGATTCTACCGTTTGCAGTGTGCTTCCTTGTGTCCTGCAAGTGTTTTTTTTTTTTTTATATAAACACTAGAATAATATCTCAATCGGTCTGCAACAACTTCAAAAGAGGAAACTGGAAATGTTGGCGGGATTTAAAGCAAGCTCTCAATCAGCAACACACTGTAGGTATAAAGGGGAAGGAAAACAGTAGAATAGATCCACTTCTACCTCTTTTTTCATCTGAATAATTCTGATGAATCAATAATCAAGCATTCATTTAAAATCACTTTCAAACTTTGAATGAAGATAAATCACGTCACATTCTGCAGCTCAGAACACCAGAAAGCCTCTTTTTAAAGATTAACATTCACTGTACATAAAGTATTTATGCTGTCATCTAGTTTCTAAGCTTTATCCATGTATAGTTTGTGAAAACTGCAATTTTATTATGACCACTAGGAATATCAGTAGAACATGTAATAAACCTTTGTGTCAGATTTGTTTTTTTGTTTTATTTTTCCTTTTTTACCCAATTTACTGACTAATAATGTCTGTTACTCAAACTCAAAAGCCAGGATATTTAACAAGAATTTGTTGTACAGAAAATTTGTATTTGAGGGTCTTTTTTTATTTTTTTATCAGCTGAGATTACGCTTGCCTTGTGTCATTTTCTTTACAATCTATAACTTTATTCACAGTCCTCTTCCTTTAGCATGCGCTGTATTGGTTTTTGAAATTCTGGGACAGTGCCCACCTTCCTAACACTGTGACTCGTGATCTCCCAGCTGCTCTTTCTGTTACCACGCCATCAGCCCTTCCCCCGGCTGTCAGCGAGGCTTTTACCGAGCCGCCATGTGTCCTCGGCGCTCAGCTGACAAGGCTGCGTTTGTGATGCGGCGGGGCGACGGCTCTCTCAGCTGTCTCATTCCTCTGGTGCCGAGAAACTCCGGAGCCCAGCCTGTGAGCTCCGGCAAACCCATAATTCATATCCCATGACTGCAGTCCTGCAGAGGTGTTCAACCTGTCCCCCAAAGCCTTAACAATTAGATGCAGATAGGACCTTTAAATAGAAGCATCCTACAGAAGCTGCCGCTATAACAGTTTTTTTTACCTACCTTTGCTTTTTTTAGTCAAGTTGGCAAAAGAACAAAAAAAAGTTGTGTTGCCGTACCGTACTTTTCTTCAGGGCCTTGCAGAAGCATTCAAACACTTTATTCTTTTTTTTCTTGCATTTTTGTCACTTACAACCACTAACTTGATTGTATTTCATTAGTATTTCATGTGATATGTGTTGGAAGGTGGATTGATGATGTAAAAAAAACTACGGAGGTGTCCATATTCATGGTATGTCTTTACAGGCTTTGCACTTTTAGAGAACACAATTTACAAATTTTGCAAGATAGCTTCAGCTCAGTGGTATAAAATGGTTAGAGAATCTGAACAGAGATTCTAAATCCAGCCGAAAATCAGTCCATTTCATCTACTAGGTCATTTTAATATACATATAAATGCTTTGATCCATTGCCAATGTAGTTCTGGTGGTAGGATTATATTTGTCCAGCTTGAACACAAACCTCCACCCCATTCCTGACTCTTTAGGAGGAATATATCTTTTGTTTCCAGTATTCCTCGACATTTACCATTTGACATCCGGAGGATACAGTTGCTTGTTCATTTTTTTATCTCCCCATAAGGGTTTTTTGAATGTGAAACTAAAAGTGTAATTTTGGTGATGACAGAATCTTCTTTCTCATTTACTGTGACCCCTTTGCAGCTTAACAAACTTCAACATCCTTTCTTTAATAATGTCTTTTAATTTGCCTCCCTTGAACAAACTACAACTGAAAGATCCCTATTTACTAAAGATGTTACAGTGGATTTTTTTACTGAAGTGTTGTGTTATAAAGAGCAAAGTATGTTGATGTGCTCCTTACTTATCAGAAAAATTTTAAAAGGACAAATTTCTAATTCCAATAAAATTGGAATACCTTTTCTTTTTTATTCCACCTTTTGCATCAGGCCCCAATAACATTTATTTTTGTGGTTGTAACATGAAAAAATATGAAAATGTTCATGGAGTAGGAAAAGTTAGAAAGTCATGGTTTGCTGATCTAAGTGCCCTGCTAAAAAGAAGCTTCATCAGGTGTTATTGACAGTTAAACTCGCTTGTTGCAGTACTGGCTTGGAACCTCCCAGATAAATTGTTCTTCTGATCAGAGAAAAGTTTATGTTTCCTTAACTTGGGATCACAGCTTGCTCTCCAGTGACGATGCACCCAGGTCTCATAAGGATTATTGTCCCAGCTGCAGGAGCCCGGCTGACACTGTGACTTCTCTCCATACTTTCATCTCACCCAAGTCTGCTTGGTGTCAGCTGGTATACGGCCGTCTTGTTGTGTCACCAAGCAGCAAGCAGGCGACTTTTTCATCCACCAGGGTGGTCTGATTCGACACGTGAAGTCGGGGTCCTCTAAAGCAGTTTAAATGGGTCACACCACTGGATAGGTAGCAGTTTTTAAATTTTTCACCTCCAGTTTTACTAAAAAACACCAAACTTCAGATTGGATTTCATTGTTTGTGCAACTTCAAAAAAGTTTAACAGATTTTTTTTTTGTTTTTTCTTTTCAAAACCTACCACATCGTAGATTGATCCAGTGGAGGGGTGGAACATTTTAAAAGTTTTTCTTTGCTCATCTAATCAGTTGTTTTTTAGAGATGCACTGATTACTTTTCTGTCAAAATGTTCAATCCCTTTTATTTATAACCTTTATCTGCCAAACCTCTCAGCTTCTTATATCAGTTCAGGAAGATATAAGAACAGCAAATGAAATTTTATTTCATCGCCTCCTGCAAATCATTATTATTTATATAGTTCAACCCGTGTTGGGGAGCAGTTTCTTTGTGTTTCACTTTTTTAAGACAAACACAAAATGATTAGAGTTACAAACCCTCCCACTCTATATGCACTCCTTTTAGATCCTTACCATAATTCAGAAATTTCCAGAAAGCTGCTAACTTTACCAAATTTTAAATGCTGAAATAATTAAAAAGCTGCTTTATATATGCTATTTAGCCTTCCTGTTGACTGCTATAAGTCTTAAGCTCAAACCAGATACAGCAAATTGCTGCTCCTAGCTATTGTTAACCTTTCACGGGGTCAATATTAAGGACTATAATGGGGGTAGGAAAAAACATTGGAACTGCTCTCCTCAATCTAGACATTGCAACCCCTTGGATGAGAGCTATAAAGAAAAAAGTTAAATAAACGTTGAGAAAGGCTGAGGCTCTCCATTATAAACCCAGAACATAAAAAAGTGGAGACATTTGTGTCACACTCGGTGCGCGTGAATTCATGATATATTTTTGTTAAATCAAGCCTTGCTCTCTCTTGCAGCCTGACCAACGAACACACCTTTAAATGCATCCGACAATGTAGAAAAGTTTTGGCGGCACTTTTACTTCTTCTGACTTCAGAAAGCATTAACAGATAATTCCAAGTGAAAACAAGCTAACCAAATTCTTTTTTTTTTTTTTTATCTCAAACTTGCTGGTAACTATTTAATTTCTCTTTCCTTATCCATTCATATCATCATTGTCTGTCGTATGATGCAGACATATATATATATTCACAATTCTGTCGGACGTTGTGCTCATTTGTAATGTTTTATATTTGGAGAGTTTTTGCTTATTTTTGAGGCATGTGGCTAAAACTAGTTTTAGTGCAACATCCAGTTTTTGTAAATGAATCCCAATGCTAAAAAACATGCTCATGTTAATAATATCTAATGTACAATCCAGCATTATTCTGATCTCTTGTTGATATTGGATTGAATTAAGACTGAGTCAGCATCATACTGAAACAATATTAAGGCTTATTTTTTAATATAAGTTGTAAATTTGTATCTGTAATCCACTCTCAGTTCTTATCTGGCATGATGGTCTGACTTAGCAGAGAGGAATAATTGTCCCTATTTTATTTCTACCAATTTACTTAAATTTTTGGTCCTTCTAAGCCTCATTAATTCTCATTCTTTTGCCTCCATCACATCTACACTTTTTCATGTCTTTGTTTAGTTTCTATTAGATTATATTTGGTTTATTTATTGCATAGCAGATCTGTGCCAAGGGATTAATTAAAATACAAACCTGTTCCCGACTCCTGTTTATTATTTTTTTATACCCACTAACACATACATCTGCAGGACATTTTGTAAAAATAAGCTGTTCTCCAACCGAGGTGAGGAAACAAATTGCAACATATTTATTTTAATAACAGGATAATCATTTGATACATTTCACTTTTCATGTTTTTTTCTTATTTATTTAAATGTCTGCTGTGTTGATGGCAGGATACTCTGCCTAAGACAAGTGTTTCTGTTGTTGTATACAACATTTCATGCTACAACCAGTGCATTTTATTTGGATTTTATAGATCAAATAAAAGTTTTTTGTTACTGGGTTGAAGGGAAAATGACACAGTGATTAAAATTATTCTAAATAATCTGAAAAGTGTGACGTGAAATTGTTTGCAGTCTCTTTAATATATATGATTGAACAGTTACATTCAGTGCAACCAAGTGCCCTCAGAGATGCCACTAGAAAATAAAGCCCACTAGTGTGTAAATTAATCTCAGAAGGAATACAGCTGTTTTGTGACACCCTTAGAGGTTTGTTAGAATGTTATTCAATCAAAAAAAAAATGCATAAAGCATGAATAGGGCATGAAACAGTAAAGAGCTTTGAATAGCTCATGCAGGTCTGTCATTCAATAGTATACTGGAAAAAAGTATGACACAAAGGCAAAACTGAAAAAGGTGTGAGTGGGCAAAGAGAGTATGAATTTAAAGCCACTACAAACTTGATGGTAACTCTGGAGGAGCTGTAATGGTCCAAAGCTAAAGTAGAGAATATACATTTAAATACAGCCTTGAATAAAAAAAACAAAACCTTTTTCCATTTACCTCTTACTTCATTTTTTTCAATTCAGTCCATCATATAAAGGATTATTATTATAAATATTTATATTATTATAAATATTATCATTGCAGACCCTTAGCCCCAGATTGATCCCCAGGCAGCTGTAGGCTGCTCACTGCTCCCAAAGGACCCTGTCACACCTTGACAAATATAACATAGATATTTTTGATAGGTTACCACATCAAAAATATCTACGTCATACCTGAGACAGGCTTACGTATACACTATGCTCAAGTATAACCAGCCCTTAACACAGATATTTTTGATATATTCCCAATATTAAAGCGTTATTCAATGCCACAACGCAAGAGGGACAATCACTAACTAGCTGTGGGTCTAGATACGGCTGAGGTGGTGAGGAAGTGGAAAAACCCAAGGGGCAAGTTTGTGCGACAACGGAGGCACATAAGGGCGAAAAAGTGTGGGATCGAGGTGGAAAAAGGGTCACAGCGTTCTCGCGTACCTCGCCCTCCTAGCTGGTCTAATTTCACGAGTTGATTTCCACTATGGCGATCATACAAACAGAACAAGCCAGTAAGGTACCAAACAGGAAATACACATACTCTAGAGTGGATGGAGATTTGGCCAATCAGAGGCCTCCTTTCTGCAGCATTGTCTGCGGTCACCTACAATTTCGGAGAGGTGCACCAGAGTGTCTGCCGAGGGGGCGGGGGCATATCTGCCTTAACTGTGACACACACGCAGACGACCTGGTTTCTGAGTATAAATCAGCCTTTAGTGTGAGCAGCCTTCTGCCGAGGCCGACTACGGTTCAAAGAGAAAGAAGCTGTCAGGATAGAAGAGATAGAAGCAGACAGGAGGCAACGCTGGAGAGAGGCAGACCGGAGGCCAGAGGCCTCTGGCCTCCGGTCTGCCTCTGGCCTCCTGTCTGCAACACTTTCTGCGGTCACCTACATTTTTGGAGAGATGTACCACAGTGTCTGCCGAGGGGGCGGGGGCATATCTTTCTTAACTGTGACACACAACCAGACGACCTGAGCCTAAACCAGCCTTAAGCCGTGTCAGCCCGGAAGTGTCACAACGTTGCCACTGCCACCAATTAAGCTCAGCCCTGCTGCGTTTTTGCCAGATTTTTCATATGTCAGCCATACGCTGGTCTAAATCCTCAAGGTCTGACAGGGGCTTAAATTTTGTTGAAATATAAAACTGAAAAGACAAAAAAAAAAGATAATTCTTAAAATTTCCCAATAAAATTATCTGAGGTTGCGCATGTAACTAAATCTGAAACAGGACAAATGATTGAAATCCTTTCGCAAGCTGATGTGGAACCTGTTCTTTACGCATCCCACTCTAGCATCCACACTCATCTTTTTATTAGCTGTTTAATTGAGGTCCAAAACCTGCAGTGTCTTCCTTTTGTATAAAAATAAAACGCAATTTTAACAATATAATATCAAACTTGAGTAAAAAAAAAACTCAGTTTTATCAGAGCAGCATTCTTCAACTTGAACAACAAAATTACCATGAAAAATAAAATGGCAGATTTGCTACATTGTTTTTTTTTTTTAAGAAGTCCATCAAATTTTTCAGCACCTCCAGAACAAATACTGTGGTAGAAAAAAAATAAAGAATTGAGAAAACTAACTGTAATGAAATATATGACACAAACAGCATCTTAACACGAGACGTGGGGAGACTAAACTCCACTTTTCTGCACTTTTTTAGACTCCAAGCAAACAACAAAATGTACAGCAGACCTAAAGAAAAGAGCACAAAACATCCCTTCTGAATTTCCCCCTGTAAGAGTAGATGATGGCATTTCTTACCCTGACTTTTTTAATGTCTAAAGCTGTTTCTTCCAATTTACCTTTCTTTTTTTTCCCAGATAAGCTTGGTGGCTGAATATTTTTTGCATTAGAATTAAACATTGCTAAGTTACTCATGTAACACAACATCCTCTCTAATATTGCTTTGTCAGCTACATATAAAGCCCTGTAAGAAAAATGCATTTCCAACACACCTTAATTATGTTTCCATGGCTGGAACACATATACATTCTGTTCGAATTTGAAACTCAGCTTAAGAAAGTGTAAAGCTAAAATAATTCACTAACAAAAACACTGTGATGTTGACTTTAACATGGGGAAATGAGAAACTGCCATGATGTCTCCTTGGTTTTTTGTTTCCAGCTGATATGCGGAGAGCTTTGAAGTGAGGATTGGCACAGCAGGCGCTAGCTTCTGCAAAGGAAGGATGCTAAATGTTAAGGGATCAGGGGGACATAAGATAGTCCTCCTACCAATATAAGATGGAATAAGGTAAAAGAAAAAAAAAAAACAAGAGGCAAAAAAAGTCTGATGATAACGTAAATCTGTTCCAATGATTTTATGAGCCTCTAACTCTTTTTTCCAACCTCCATGTTGGATAAGTGGCTCCTTTTCTGTAGAGAATCTTAGTACTTCAAAGCAGATTTGCTTTGGATAATGCAAATGATCAGAATATGCTGGTTTCAGCCTACTCAAGAACATGAAAAGGAAGAGTGGGAAAGAGAAAATGAAAACTAATTGCTGTGCCTTCCTTTTATGTGAGGAAAGAAGGGCAGAAATAAAATACTTCAATTATTGTCAAGTTCATTCGATTAGGAAATAAGCTGACAAAGCGCTGAATTTTAGTATTGCTGACCCAGTGGCCATTTACATTAAAGGTTACTTTGAACTGCCACTTGGTTCTATCTGATGAAATTATAATTAGCAGGATTAAATTCAGCCTGTAATCCTCATGCTGGCGCTGGAGAGCTACTTTGTTCACATCTGAAATCTGTGGTGGCCTGTGGGCTGTCCTCTTTGATCCAATAATATGTCATTAAGATAAACCTTTTGAATCCTCTTTTAATTTGATAATGAAGGACTGTTTGCTTTGGGGTCAAATGCCCCCCAAAAACAACTAAATTCATATTTATCAGAGAATCTTAAGCAAAAACCTGTTGCATTGTCCACAAACAGCATCACGGCACAGAAAGCGATATTTTCTCAATTAAAGCAGGAAAAGCAACATGCGAGAAATACGAACTAGAGAACAACCCATACACAGCTTATGAATCCCCTGCTTCATTTAACCTAATTTTCTGATTTTGGTTACAAATACAATCAGGACTCTTTAAACAGCACTGCTGCAATGCGTTTGTGTGAATAATCTAAAGATTGGACTGTTGATTTATTAGTTATAGGAAGAAAATGAAAATCCCCCTTTGCAAAATTAGATTTTGCTAAGGGGCCCATGAAGGCCTAAGTTGTCCCTGCCAAGAATAATTTCAATAACTGCCTTAAATGTACTGGGACATGTCTCAATATGTACATGTGCTGTGTTTCCTACATGGCTTGTCCAAAAACTGGACCTTTTATGCCTTTCTATTAACAGTCTTCTTTTTTTTATGTCTCTCTCCGCTATATTGTCCAGATTTATGGCTTTAGGACTCATAGTTGCCCGGATATATTCTCCCACCTGAGCTGTGTTTCTCTTTGCCATGAGACTTTTCAAATGTTCTCATTGGAACGTTTTAAAAAATAGTAATGTATGTCTTGAAAATGCTTTTTAATATTGCTTAGATGTCTTTCTATTTAACAAGTACAATCTAACATAAGTTGGTCTTTCAACATTCCAATATTTCTAATTTAGGATTGAGTTTTGCCAAAATGTGGTGATTCATATTCTGTTCTTAGAGCATTGGAACCTCTTAAAGATGCAGAGAACAAACTTAAAATCTCTACATTGATACATACAATTATGTATCCATGCATTAAATTGTGCATTTAAAAATGTTGTGTAAAAAAATAAAACTTTGTAAGGTGGTTGGCGCTTAAAGGAGGAGTGAGGTTCAGTGAAAGTTAAAGCTGACAGACAGCGAGGGGAAGTTAAGGTACCGGTAAGGTTTAAGGAGAAATAATCTACCTCTATAGGCTCAGATATAATGATTTTGAAGCTTCAATATGAGCAACGTTTAAATATTCTATGTATAAAAAAACAAACCTTACGTGAAGCTAAATAAATGTTTCATTTATCCCCCAAAACTGTCTGATTGTAAATCTTCTATCCGTCGGTCAAACCTTCACTTTAAAGCAAAATCTAAACTATGTCAATAACTCTTTGTGTTTTAAAATGAAATAACTGTTTGTATCCTCTAACTACAACAACATGAAAGAAGCCTGCTCACACTCTTCATTCCTCAAGCTCAGAGATAATCCCCTTTAACTGAACAAATGTGCCATTTAATAGGATATTCATGGCGAAAGAAATCTGTACTCCAGGGATATAAAGCTGTGCTTAACTTTTCCTTTTTCACATTGTGAAGTAAAACGTGCCGTCCAGCTTCTGCAAAATCAGTCTGCCGTGTAGACTTTTAGAACCTGACTCCAGACCTTTAGAGATAGCAAATGTATAAAACAAGGCTTCAGAAAGTTGCATTGGCTTTTAGCAGATCATTGGAGCTCTTTCTCTCTGCAACATCAAAGGCAGCCGCGGCTCTTTGATGTGGCAGCAT